CTTAGAGGTCAGAAACGAATTTCCTGGAAGACTCAAGAGTTCGTCTGGCCGTCAGCGAAAAGAAGGCTGTATTCAAGAGGTTGCTTGGAAGCAACGAGTGTTCATCTCGAACGCAATACGAAGAGTGCGCTCAAGGCGGCAAGGAAAGCAGTCGTAGCAAAAGTTAACTCCTGGAAAAAATTCGGTGAGGTATTGGAGTCGAACATTCAGACGGCAAACTTGGTTTTCTCATAGACCACCCGCCGCCAGGGGACTGAAAAAGAGGATCGAACAGTCCTGAAGGACATGTCCTGACGCCCTACTGCAATTGATGAGGGCATACTTCGGTGATAGAGAGAGAGTACTTTGAGGAACTCCTTAACCCATAGCAACCTCAAGAAGATCCAAGAGCAGCACCCAAAGGATATTAGCTTTTCAGCAGATGAAGTCTAAAATGTTTGAAAAGTGGCAGGCTGGTGGAATCTAAGAAATTCCTCTGGAACGCCTAAAGCTTAACGCGATCATTCATGTTGTTGCTAACTCGTATCTGTCAAGCTGCAATGGCTATCGAAAATGTACCACAGAATGACCGGAGAACGGGGCTTATAGCACCAATATTAGAGATCATATAAAGTGCTGCAATTATGGGAGAGGAACATTGCCTCATTGAGCCTCCCAGGAAAAGTCTGCCCAAAGATGCTATAATGTAGGTGCTCCAGATTGATTGAGTCTAACTGTCTAAATACCGGCCTCAACGCATTTGTTAGATATTCGCCTTACGCCAGACTGTCCAGAAGTCGCGGTAGTTTTCTAATCTGGACTGCATATGCTTCGTGGAGCTAGACAAACCTGTAACGGGATCTGGAGCAAAAACCTATTGGCGTGCCTGCAACCATATGGGATCGATGGCGGTTGCTGCGGCCATATAAATATAGACGACGGCTCTCATTCTGAACTGAGTTATAATAAAAAATATTAATCTTTAAAAGTTTTTTTCAAAAAAATATAGAAACGTATCAGCCCTGATTGGAACTGATTTGCCAGCCTATTTTTAGGTCGATTACAATTCTATCCACTCAGGCTTTAATCGCTGTCAGCGGAGAATTCTAGATGGTCTGCAAACGATGAGTCCATGAAGTGCGTCCTGAACAAAATCTTTGCAAATTAAAAACCGACTTATACAAGCTATTTATTTGCAGGTAATCATATTTATTGATTATTATCTCAAAAGAAAATAAATCAATTTTCTTCATACCAAATCTGAAATATGCATCACTGCTGAACTTGAACTTCGCAGACAGTTCCACAGGATCATGGTCGTCCACTTTCAGAACTGCGTTATTGTCAGAGATCGAGAAATACAAGCGATGCCAAAACAGATCAGCCACAGCAACTGAAAAATAGAAAGCACATTACCGCGTGGTCACCGCAAGAGGTAAATAAGGTGAAGTATACTATTCGCAATTCTGTCATTAGCTCTCTGAAAAATGGCGTCATATGTTATGGAAGGTAGGGTCATGGAGAAGTGTACTTTCTCAGTTTTAAATACAGGTTCAAAAATTGTAATTGCTGCGTTAGTACCTTAAATATAAATTACAACTGTCATGTTCTGTTCAGAAGGATGCCTACATTAATGCAAAATTCAAGCAGCGTTATGACACGGATTCTTAGCCACCCACCAGACTTATCTTCTCTCAGTTTCTTCATGTATCAAACAACATACAAATCTTCTGTTAATCTCATGTATATCCGTGTTTATCCTTCATCTTTTATTCAGATCTAAAGATCTTATCATGTTTATTATCAGGATTGATAATGTCGGGGATTTCAATATTAGATTTCACGATGAATTGCAAGGTCTCCATGCTCCTAGTTGCTTATGGATATTTAAGTAGGTCAGGTCTTTATCATGTTTATGGTGGTATACGGTAACACAGAACGAGTACCAACTGCCGAAACATTGTTCGTCGTGAGAGAACAACATGAAGCGAGATGCGTTTACGACTACATTTGCTAAACCTGTTATGGAGCAGTGGCCTGCTTAGATGACCCTTAGGCAACAACCAGCAAAATCGTGCTGCAATAAGCCGCGAGATCTAGTATTAAAGGAATTATGACCCAGTCAACAGACCTGTTAATGTTTTGATACAAGCAGTCAACAAGAAGTGATTACCTTCAGAATTCATTTTTAATGTCGGCAGATACCTGCCGGTAAGGATAACGTGCAGAAACGTATTCAAAATGACTATTTTCACTTCCTCAATTCGATCTTTCTTTGAGTTAGTGAATTGTACGACGGTGCCATCAACAATATATGTCTTCAACTCCAAGGTGAGGGCGATGGTAGTCAATGTAGAAGGATTTCTGATCAGCATTGATGAATCTAGATGACCAAACGTGGCGGAAGTGTTTCGTTGGATCTTAGGTTCCTAAAACGTTAAAAGAATAAAATAATTCTATCATAATTTAAAATTGTCATATTCTTTCCATACCAGGGGTAATGGCAAATGTTTGTTTGTCACATTTCAGAATCGGACCATTCTGTGTAATTACGATAGTTTCATCAGCCTGGCAGTGAAGGGAAAATGGTAACATGAATATCTCCATAAACTTTGAACAGAATTTCGTTTATGATGAAATATGTGCTTCCCAGAAGCCGGATACGTTTCTGAATACAATTCATGTATCTACATTAATTTACCACTTCCAGCTAAATATCTTTTTATTCATTATTCTGATAGTTTCGTTGTCCTCAAAGTTCATCATTCCGTTCAAGTCCCGAGGATCAGTCGAACGTCCAAGGGGCTATCATAAACCCTGCAACGAACGGTTACCAAGGCGCTGGTGAAACTGTTTGAAACCAATCACCCGTTCAGCTGATTACAGAAACGTACAGAATTAATCACTGACCGGATTTTATTGGTGGCAGACCTAAGCATCTCACTGGTTATGAGTATGGATTTCGAATAACTTCAGAACGGAAAAAAATAATCTTCAGTGCTAAATGTGGACACAGTTAGCACGTTGATCGCATAGACGTTAAATGGACCTCGATGAATTACACTAGTCACAGAAGAAGCGAATCGGATTGGAATGGCGGTAACTTTCATGGTAGAAATTTGCGGGCTTGGAGCAAACGCTATGACTGCTGGAATGTACAGCTTCTATGGCACGGGAATTTTGGAGGGTGCTACACACAGAGATGGTGTTGCTCTGGCAATCAGTCGAAATGCGCAATCCTTTTATGCTGGAGCGTCATATCTGACCGAATCATTGCGGCGAGGTTCAACTCCAGATATAAGGCACTTGGCATCACAGTGGTTGTTGTTATGTCCCTTTAGAAGTTACGGCAGAGGCAGTAAAGGAGAAATTTCAGGCTACACTGAGTCTGCTGCTGCAATAGTGTCCATGATATCTTGACTGTTCCAGGTAATTTAAATGTGAACATCAGAACAAACAATAAGCTGTCTAAATGTATAAGATCATACGGTTTTTGTGTGATGAACGAAACTGGGAACAGCTGGCAGAAATGTATGAGATGCGCGATCCACTAGTTGCCGGCATATGGCATCCTTACAAAGCGCCGCATAACCCCAAATGACATTCCCTGATGCATCAATGGGAAACCAGCTTCACAACACTGTCGTTATCAGAAGTCATCGAGCATAATTATAAAATGTTAAGGTGTACGGAAGTGCTGAACGCGGCATCGACCGTGAGTTGCAGATGGCTAATATTAAATTCAAGCTCCATCATTGACTAGCAGTTAAAAATCAACCACAAAGTTTAAAGTCAACAAGCCTAAATGTCCAGAACTACCAAAATCATATCAGGAAATGATTGGCGGAAGATTCAAATCTCTTATTGATTACACAGGTAATATATTGGTAGAAAAGCTAGGACCACTTACAGGGAAGCAGTAATAAGCTCAGAAGGGCAAATGGGATGAATAAAAACACGACATAAGCGGTGGATGAATTTAGAAACTAAACGGTTGAAAAAAAGAGCAGTTTTGCAAAGATTGATAACAGACCAAGTTTCAAAAAAGAAATACAAACAGGGATTAGATTCATTAAGGAAAGATAAGATACATCGTTGGAGGAGGCAGGCTGAAATAATGAATAATGCGGCTCAGAAAAACGATATGCATACCTTCGTCAGGAAAGTCCATCGTTACTGAGAAAAAGAAGCCTCGAATGAAAGAGGCATGAAAGAGGAAGGTGACATCGCAGCCGTCACAAGAAACTGCATTAAAACACGGTTTATTCATGCATAGCGCGAGCTGATTGGCCAACTGGGTAATCAACCAGTACCGAAGTTTCAGCTGTTGTACTACGAACCTTCTTCAGGGGGTGGGCTGGATTGATTTACACACTTCGTCCTGTGATCCGCAGATGTTGTAACGTTTGGAGCCAAAATACGTGCTTTTGGCTTATGCTGATAATTAAGTACTTTTTCGAGCAAGAGGATTCACAAGGCTTGTCCAACCCTTGCAAACTTTCTATCGTCTACCCGTGTCGACATTTTTGAAGGACTGAATGATTAAAGCCTCTTTGACTCGTCTGTTCAGCTAATTTTTCTTTAATGATGTAAGTGCAATCTCACCGTTGAAAGATGCAATGTTCCTCTACGCGTATGGGATAATCCCTGAAGGCTTTTCACATTGTCTTTTGCAAAAATCTCATCGAACAGCGAATAGGTTGGACAAGGCAGCCATAACGGGTAACTGACAGGCAGTGTTTAAAGGAGTCCGACGTTGTCCAATAGCCATGAGGCACCTGTCATCTCCAATTCATTAAAGGTATCCAATTAGCAGATGAAAAGTAATCCCTCAAAAGTTTCGTTGAGCATTTCCAGCAACTGCAACACGGAGGAACAAAGCAGAGACAGATGTGTTTTCAGAGAGAAATATTTAATTCTGCGATGTAATAACCGATGCCATAAAACAAAAATCTTGAAAAGCTGCGGACACAGCAGACATCATAAACCGGAGTCGCTCTACTCTTACCAACGGCTCAAAATGATGATCTGAACAAACAAAACAACAACTGAAAAATGATGGAGTAACAGGAAATTATAATATGCTATCAAACAAGTCGCTGAGGCAGACTCCAGAGAGCTTCCAACCTCGTAGTGGCGTTTCAGCTTAAAAACGACCACTGATATCTGCTATATCGAAACACTTGCTCCAGAGCAGTCCTGACCATTTCCAGAGTCATTGTTTCATCTGTAGAGCAACTCGTAGCCGCTTTTTTTCTTCCTTGCTGGAGGCATTCGCAAAGCATGCCGAAATCATCGCAGCTGAGATATCTCAGTCTAGAGAAGCAAAGGCTGTACACCAAGGCTCTTCCGGATGTCAGTATTCCGGAACATGTCTAGACGCATAAGGCCAGCGACTCGTCTAACAAAGCCCATTTGAGCAGCCCGTACCTGGGTTCCAAGTTTTTCACTGATGGTCCACGATTCATGACCGTAGGTAAGTATGGGGGAGAAAGATCGACTTGAATATTGAGAGCTTAGTTTTCAGACCGAGCTCTGCTTTCGTCACAACGGGTCGGGCTAGTTCACGCAACGCCACTGGCTACACCAATTCGCCGGTCGATCTCTTCCTCCAACTTTCCATCACTAGTAAATATA